CATGTTTTAAATGTTAAACAACAATTTAATGGTTTTTCTAGTAATGATTCGTCACCACCATTATCATCATCATCATCAGATTCTATAACAGCATTATCAATATCACGTGAAGGTGATGTAGCTATAGCTGGCTGTGCTAATGGTATTGTTCAATTATTTAATTTAATTGATGGTGAATTTACTGAACAAATTGTTGATCATCGTGCACCTGTTACACAAGTTGCACTTTCACATTCATATTTATTTTCATTATCTGGTTCAAGAGATACAACAGTTAAAGTTTATGATAATGAAATGGGAGAAATTGTTGCGGAATTTACTGTAAGATAATTATTAAGGGAGGAATTATGAGACTATTGAATATTTGAGGCATTCGATAAAAAAAAAAAAGGTTTTTTGTTGTCCATTCAATGCATCGATGTGTAAAACTACAAACTCCAAAATTTCAGCTTTTAATAGCCTTTTTTTTTGCAATGTTAAGCCGTACCGGCTTTTTATCACGATAATATTCTTATAAAAAAATCGTCTTGCAAAAGTTGTGTTCGTTTTCATTTCAACGAATCATTCAAATTGTCTATAAATTATAGTAAAATATAGAGAATTAAAAATTGAACAAAAGGAGCTATTTCAATATAATATCGATAGAATTAAGTTTTATATGATTAACATAAATGAAAAAATTTTTCATTTATGTATCCTAAGATGTCAACTTTAAAGTAATCTATCTCCTCTCGAAATGCAGAACTAGAAAGCATCAAGCTGAATTTTATATATGTTTTACAACTTTTTATTCTCTACAAAATGGAATCATATTTCTCTAAAATATAGTGAATTTTCAATATAAAAAAATCATTTTTAGCGGTTTTCATCGCTATGAAACAATGATAAGGCAAAATAAATGTGACATACAAAATCGACATCAAAATCTGCATACAATCAAATAAAATTTAGATAAACTTTTTCTTCCTGCGAAAAATTCACCTGTGATCCTTGCAGCTGTTTTTTTTATTAAAATTTTGTCCCATGATCCTCTAGAGATTAGTTTTTTCCTAAGAAAAAATTTTTCTAAAATATATTTGATTCAATGAAGTTTTTGTCGGTGATTCAGAATATCACATGTATTTTGCTTTATAATTATGTTATGGCAATGAAAACTTCTAAAAATGTTTTTTTTTTCCTATTGAAAATTCACTATATAGAAGAGAGATATGAATCCTGTTTTGTCGCGAATATATCGTTTCGTAGAGAATAAAAAGTTGTATATCATATATATAATTCAGCTTGCAGCTTTTTGACTCCGAATCCCGACAGAAGATAGATTGTTATAAAGTGGATATCTTAGACTCATAAAACGAAACTATTTTTCATTCACATTAGTCTTATAAGACTTGAGTCAGTCGATATTATAACATATTGAAATAGGTCATTTTGTTCAAAAACTTTTCAAAGACAGGAAATCGGAAAGTAAAATTTGAGAATTGGTGATTCCAAGTGTCGATGCATTGAATGCACAAAAAAAAACGGAAAAAAAAATTTTTTTTATCGAGTACCTCGTATACTCAATGGTGTCATGATTTCTTTCTTAATTAAATGTGCTTAAGAAAAAAGAAAACTTCTTTTTTTTTGTTCTGTATTAGGCTCATTCAGCTCCAATATCACATTTACGTATATTAGAAGATAATCGAAAGATTTTATCAAGTGATGAACAAAATTATATAAAAACATGGTGGGCAAATACGGGTGAATTGATTGATTCAGTAAATAAAAATTTATAGATAACATTGAATATAAAAGTTTGTCTTTATATTGTATTATTTTTTTTAGTACAATGTACCATGTAAAATGCTTGGTGTTTCTCCTGATGGAAAATATGTTGTATCAGGAAATGGAGATAATATGTAAGGATTCTCTATGAAAAAAAAGAAACTAGTATATCTATATTTTAATAAATAAAAATTTAGTTTAAAAATTTGGTCATTGGATGATGCACGTGTTGTACGTTCAATTGATCATACAGAAGGAAAAATTACATGTATGGCATTTCGTCCAGATTCACAATATTTAATTACAGGTGGTGAAGATTTTAGTTGTAAATTATGGGAATTATCTTCAGGAAAATTAACACAGGTAAAAAAAAAAAAGAAAACAAAAATGAAGATATTTAATGGTTTTTTTTTTGAGGTTCTTGTGGAACATGAAGAATCTATTACAGCTGTAGCAATAAGTGAAGATGGAAAACATGTTTTAACAGGTGACAAAAGTGGTCAAGCAATTATTTGGTCATTTAAAGATGGTAAAAATTAATTTAATATATAATTGAAAAGAATGTGAATAATTTGTTTTAATAATTCAAATGATTTATATGAGATTTTAATAGATCAATATTTTGTCTTCAATTAAAATATATTATTACATTCTTTTTCAAAAGATCGAAAAGATTTTTTTTTCAAATCAATTTCAGTTGTGTTGATGCTTTTTTTAAAAAACCTTCATACACATTTCCTCCAGTGATAAGATCGACTCACAGCACATGCTATGCAGTTAGATGTCATATCGTAGTGTCTTGAAGATCATTTACAGATTAGAATAATGGCAAAAATAAAACTTTCGACAAAATGTTTCATAAATTTTTAAAAAATTTTTTAAATGTCTTTATGATTGATTATCTACTAATTTAATAAACTTTAATTTATATCGAAATTATTGTAGGAGCTGCTGTACATAAAATTACGAGGCATAAAAATACCATTGTTTCTGTTTCATTTACTACTGACAGCAATATTGCAATTATTGGTAAAAACATATGTTAATTAACATAAATTCTTGTTTTTTTTTTTCTTGTTTTAATAATTATTCTTATATATCCTAGCTTCTCAAGAAGGTCTTCTTTCTGCTTGGTCTACCATAGCTGGCATACATTTAGCTACATTTCATTTTAATCAAAATCTAGTTAAATTACTTGTTTCACAAAGTGGAGGTATAAAGAAATAAATAGTCTTATTAATTAATTAAATTTTTATTGGTTTGTTTTTTTTTTCTGTTTTTTTGTAGCCCGTTATGCAGCAATTCTACAAAATTCACCATGTGTTGCTATGTTGAGTCTTTTCAATATACCATTTAGTGATGTATCTAGAATACCACAACGTCAAAGTCAGAGTCAGAGTATGTTATTATAATTATATATCGAAAACTATTCTTATAAAATTTATTATTTCAAGTGTTTTCCGATATATACAATACAGTATTACCAATAAAACCAAAACCATTACTTTATCCAAAAGATTCAATAATATTAACTAATTCTCGAGAAAGTTCAAAAATTGATCAACTCGGTGGTGATATGATACTTGTAAGTTTTTCTTGTATCAATTTTCAATTAGATTTCATTTCCTGATGAAATCAAATAGCAAAAAAAATAAGTTCTTTTCTCAGCATGAAATTATCAATAATTATGGAAATAAAAAATATTCCATTTAAATCTATTCATTCACATATTTGACAATTGCATGTTGAGAATATCAATGATGCAGTTTCTTGTTTGTTTTCCGAATGTTTCTATGGATGTGTTGCACAAATAGTAGGTCTTCACTAAGAATAACTTTTCTCGATTTCTATTTCCGTAAAACTTTCCAAATTTCTATTCTTGTCACAATTTTTATATTTGTGGGAAAGTATCGCTACCATACACTAACTTTTCATATTATTATCTTGTCTGGAAAGTCCGTGCAACTCATATACAATGAAATCTTATGATAACAATTGTTGCATTTAATCAATGTTATAACCTTCACTAATAGACACACGTAGCTCATTGGCAACGTGGGATAGCTAGCGAAGGTCATTAGGTTGAATAAATGCAGTACACATTAGCCTAAGGTTTCATAGTATATCAGTTACACGAACTTTTCGGATAAGGTAATATTACATCTTGCGTCATATGGCATGATTTTTAATTTAAAAACAAAATCAGTTGACTAATTATGTAAAAATAAAAAAGACTGTTACATAAACAAATTTTTTTGATCCATATGAAAATAAGACCAAAAAAAAAGAACTTTTTTCTGGAATATTAATGTTTCAAATAATTCCGAATTCCCATAAGAAACAAGATGAAGGGAAGAAAGTTTCCGCATGACACTAGCACATAGATTATATTAACATCATGTCCTCTATTGATCGATTAATATAAAGCAAGAAAAGAGAAAAACTATACAATAAGTCGTACAATTACCATTAATTAAGAGAAAACAAAAAAATATATCTAGGCTTTATAGACAAAAACACAATAACGAAACAAAAAACGACGCCATTGACAATGACAACATAGCTTATGTAGATATATAGAATGATAAGAGACGTGTTCATATACTCGTATATATATTTGTGTTGACTTATTATTACTAAGCAATTAAGTAGAACATGACGGCATCAATGTCGTGTTATTCTTGATGCCAATCTGCATTTGTTTGGTGTTTTTTTTTCCGATTCATCTGTTTTTTTGGTTAACGAGAAAAACAACATCTTTCTGTATTATCGAAAAAAAAAATCTTCATCTATTATCAATATATAGGTGTTTTTCCTATATATATATATATATATATATGCATGTATTTTGCAAGCAGCATTTTTTTTTCTCTTGCTACTGCTAACTTGAAAATTTATTCGTGTCTATTTTCTTTTTCCCCCGAAAAGAAAAAAAAACCATAAGGTAACTAGATAAAATTCAACATTCTAAAGCCTTACTACTTTACTCTATCGAAAGAAACTCACTTCTTTTTTTGACCAAACGAAACAAAAAAGAAAAAAGAAGTATCCAAACAAAATATAATTGAGCAAAACAAACATCTCTTTATTAATCCATTGAGAAAAACGACAGTAAGACATTAAATGACCATAGACATATAAAAAGAATCTTAACTCAATATAATCTTATAATATGTCTGTATGGATACAAAGAAAACGTCTATATGTAGATAAGATCAGATATAACGATCATAACAATGTATATTGAATATTTTGAATGTACAAATCTTTCTACAATCTCACTATCCAATATATCCAATGATCCTGTGATGAAATTTATTATTCGTTTTCATCTTATTTATCCATGGTTATTGTTTCCATTTGGTTTTATTGGTTCATTATTAACAATATTAATATTTACGAGAAAAAAATTTCAAAAATTTGGTTGTTCAATATTATTTGTTGCAGAAAGTGTTATGGTAAATATCGTTTAATTTTCTTTTTCCTTTTTTTTTAAATATATATCTCAAAATAAAAAACGTATTTAGTTTTGTTTTTAGGATTTATTATTAATTACAATAAATTGTATTCATCTTATTATACTTTATACATTTAAATCTTATTTTTTTCAACGTTCACTTTATTTATATCGACTTTATAAATTTTCAACAAATTATTTTTCTCATTGTGCTGTATGGATTTTATGTGTAATATCACTTGAACGTGCTGTTGTTACACGAAAATATATTTGGTATCAAAATGCTTTTAGTCGTAGACATTCATATTGTATATTAATTATTGTATATACAATATTATTTTTTCTTAATATGCATTATTTAATATTTTTTCGTCCTGAACCATCTATTAATGCATATGATCGTTTTTTAAAATTTTATTTATCATGGATGGATTTTTTAATAAATTCTTTAATTCCATTTATAATAATATTATTAGCTAATGCAACTGTTATGTATTCTGTATGTGAATCTCATATATTAAAGAAAGAATTAGGTTTAAGACAAACACGTTCAGGACGTGATACACAATTAGCATATATTTTATTTGTATCAACATTACTTTTTGTTTTATTAACATTTCCATTACGTGTATTTTCTGTTATTGAACCACATTTAACACATGAAAAACAATATTTAATTTTATTAGATGGTATTATGAGATTTTTATTATATCTTGATCATGGTTGTGGATTTTATTTCTATACATTTACTGGTGAATTATTTCGTCGTGAATTTAAAAGATTCATTTATGATTTCTTATTTCTTATTTTTCGGCGACGTTTTTTTAATTTATCAGCAGTTGAATCACGACGTCAAAGTGAAATAAGTGGTTCAAATGGTGGTGCTATTGTTTTACATATAATTTATTCTAATCCTCATCCTCATCATCATCATCACCATCACCAACAACAACAACAACATGGAAATATTAAATTACAAGATTCACCAAAAAATTGTGGAATTAATAAATCATCTTTACATCCATTACAATTACAGAAAACTTTTTGTCAAACATCATTTCAATCGGAATGTACTTATAATAAACCGCGCCAAATTCGTTCATTTTCAAGTTCACCATGCCGTACAACGATAAATCCTGATATAGGACAACAACGTTTATTTAATTCGACTATTATTACTAATAATAATACTCAAATTCATGTTGTTAAACGACATAGTTTATCTGGTTTTGAATTTCCATATCAAACTTTAACAGTATCAGTGACATCATTAAATAATCCAGATCGAAAAAGTGCTATTATTTAGATTTTTTTTTTCTTCTTTGTTTGTTGAATTTTGTTTGATTTAGTGTTAAGGATATGAAATATTTTATTGTTGACTTTTTCTTTTCTTTTTCTTTTATAGCCAGATCCAATGAGTAAATCGCAAAGTAAAGAATTTTTCAAGAAAAAACAACGTTGTCAAAATAAAAAGAATAGTGCTACTAGTGTTGGTATTAATGTTATTAGTCCAACAATGAACAATGTGGGACAAGGTAAACCGTATCATATTCAAACATCTCATGGAAATACAACTGGTTTGGTTGTTGGTGGTGAAGATCCAGCTCTTGTTGTTATTAATCCACATCCACTACCAACGATACATCAAACAAAAGAAAAACGTACAAAAATTTGTTGTTTATTGTAAAAAAATTCTTTTTTTGGACATTGTCTTCTTATTTTTGTTTTTGTTCCAATCGAGAGATTTTTCTGTATTTGATATAATCATACTGCTACTATGTTTCATTGAAAATTGTATTCAGTAAACGAATAATCAATAGAAAATTATCTTTTTAATGAGAAACATTAATTTAAGATGATTGAACAAATTTGTTTTCCTTTTTATGTCATTAATAAATAAAATACTGTTATTTTTAGATTACAGACTTCTTCGTAACAATATTTGTAATATTTAAAAAAAGCTACTATTGAGTCTTGTTGTTGTTTTTTCTTTTCGATTGATTTTTATTTATGGTTTTTTCATTTCATAGTGACTGGAAAATTTTCATAGTATTTTTCTTGAATTCAGATAAAAAAACAAGTATATTTCGAAAAATGAAGAACAGATACATCTATTCAATGAAAGCATTTTTCCAAAACTTTTTACATGATGATATGGGAATTTTGTGATTTTTAAGACATTCAAAGAATGAATATGAATATAGAGTATTTGAAAAATTTAGTGAAATAATAGCTTAAGAATCATACTATCTTCTTCTCTTTTTTTCCTTCGTGATAGAAAGAGAATTACTCAAGTATTATACAATTAATTGGAATTAAAAAGATGAGAAAATGATGGCGCTGATAATTTCATTTCAATAAGTTTCTCTCAGTTAAAAATGAAAGGGGATTGATCCGACTGAGGATATAACATATACTACACTAACCATAGGATTCTCAATTGATTTTATATATCTCTGCCAGTTTTCTCTGATACGAAGACTTTTATTAGGTGAATTAGTGCAGCTAGAGTTGACGACAAATTAGTTTAGTATTAAATGAAGTGCATCTAAATCGATCAGATTATTTTCATACGAATATTTGATGCCATAAATAGCGAAGACTGACATTGTTAGATTTAATAACAAATACTAAATACAAAAGACTTCTGACGATGGCAAAATAGGCTTTTATAAAATAAATAATAGAAATTTGATCGCGAATTAATCTTCCGATTTTAATTCCTATTGAGCTATTCAATTTTGTCGTGAAATTATTTCCATATAAATGTCTCACATACAATAGTTTGTAGATTTCGTATCTTCGACATACGAAATCTACAAACACTGAAACTCTACACATCTTCAGTGGCGTAATCAGGAATTTTTTAATTTGTGTGTAATTTACCAGTCAAACTGTTTGGAGGAGTGAATAGCTATGAACAATTGTCAATACTTTTCAAAAAAAAAGCAGGCGGAAATTTTTTTAAGGACTTTTAATAAAAACACGATAGAGAAAGCTACAGGTTTCATCAAGAGAAGATAAAGATGCATCGAATCGTATATTAGAAGTTTTTTCGACCTTTTTGAAAACGAACGTATTCTGTGAGGTGACTATAAGTGAAGTTTCAATTATCAGATGTGCATCCGAATCGTCAATGGAAGATTTACGAAACTACACAAGCCTCAGATTTTTAGATTTTAAATATTCTAGTCAAAATTCTCAGTCCATTTTTCAAGCAATTCCTATGAAAAAAATCACATTTTTGCTTTTTTCTTATATTAAAAGGAACCATTTCTTCGACGCCTTTTTTTTTTTTATAAATTTCGTTAAAAAAACTTCAGAAAACATCTTAGGAGAACTTATAATACATGATTTGATGCGATTTCATCTCTTCTTTCCAATAATGAAAACCACAGCGCTCTTTCTTGTTTCTATCAAAATTTATTCAAAAAATACCTACCCGGCCTTTTTTTGAAAATAGACTTTAGCTGTTGTTTTCATCTACAAAAACCACTAGATAATATTTTTCGAATCGTGGGTAATTGCCCCATAAGTGGATACGCCAATGCATGCAAGGTACTGCATACAAGACATTCAAATGGAGAAAGTTTCAAGATGAAATTCAAAACGACGATTTTTCTTGAAAATCCGAGAGCCTGCGATAAATCGATTTGTTAAAAATTTTATAGTTTCATTATGTCTCAAATTTTTAGAATATTATGTAATATTTAAAGACAAAAAAATAATCATTGAAATTGGAAGGGAACATTCGAAGAGATCCCCTTGTTAGTTGAGGACTTGTTTAGTTCATGGTACAGCACAAATAGTTCAAACGTCCCTATTGATTTCAAATTGTTATCATCACATAAAATCTTTCATAGATGAATCATCATCAGGATTGGTGTGTATAATCATATAGATGATAATAAAAAAAAAACAGATGAAAGAGATATAAACACAATTTAATAATACAGAAAAAATAAATGAAAGTAAGATTAATTTATTCTCTGGTTATGACTTATAAAAAGTGACAATACGAAATTCAGTTTTGGTTTTTTTGTTAATTTTAAATAAGCAAATTGACTGTTTGTTAAAGCATAGTTTTATTTGTGTTTTTCTTAAATGTCTTTTTTTTTGCTGAATAGTTAATAATAATTATACTAAAATAAAGACTTTGTATTGTGTTTAACCATGAAGAATAAGTCGAAAAACATTGTTGATGACTAGCCATGAATTATTAATAAAACGTAATAAAAACGTTTCTGTAAATTGCATTGGTGGATCGTTGTCAGCCTAAATAAATATAATTTTATTTAAATATATTTATATATATATATATATATATATATATATTATCATTTACTTTAAGAGCACCAGTAACAACAATTAAAATACAATTATCATATGTTGGTTGAATATCCATAGTTGATATTGTATGACTTATTGTTTGAAATGTTAATGAACGTAATTTGTCAACTATTTGTTGAGCACCTTTAGCAAAATCTGAATTATTGAAACTCATCATACCATTAACAGGTTCCTTTAAAAAAAAAGCATTAAATAAATTATAAAAAGCAAAAACAAAAGAATTTTTCATATATATACTTACATAAAGTGCTGCTACACCATCACGTGGACCTGTATCAAATTTACTATAATAAAAATCAATAAATGCCTTGCCAATTGCTTTAAAATCACTCATAATTAATGTAAGAAAATAGACAATCGATTTAAATCTGAAATCAACAATAATTTATATCAAGTAGCTGACTGTTTCTATAGAAAGAACGATGGAAAAGACAAAGAAACTAGTCCATCGTCGTTAGTTAATTCAGACTGAAGGACCATAGATAAATTATATACGTAATTATACAATTAAATTAATTCAATAATGATTTATTTTATTTTAATTAGATTTATTTCTTTGTTAATATGAAGTCTTTAGAAAAAAAAAAATATTAATGACATATTGGTAGGAGGCAATAATAATACAAAAATGAACAAAACATCACCGATTGGTTGATAAGAATTGATAAGACATAACCACCAAATTTTTTTTTAATACTATCGAATCTAGATTAGTTAGATAGGCAATTTTTGAAAATCATGCCTATCCCACTAAATCAACCATCAATACCTAAACCATTATCATGGAATTTAACTATCGATTCAACAACTATTGTTGTTACAGGTTCAATGAGTATTGGTTCAGTGATGGTTCAACTTGTTAATTGTCTCGGTTTGTTCTTATCATTCTTTTGTGTTTCTACTCATTATCACTATTGAATGTCTAAATAGATATATCTCAAGATTTTTCTGATTATGCACTTTGGTGGCCAAAAGCAAATATTTGGTTATTAAATACAAAATGGACACTTGATCAATATGGTGTACAATCCGATGCTCAACTTACTTTTACTAGCATGCATAAATCTATTCGTTTACAATTACCTGATTTACGTATTTTATCAATAAGTGCAGATTTTTCCGTTACAGTTTTTGCTGCTGTTTGTAAAATTTGTAAAGATCTTGGTAGGAATCGGAACTTTTTTTTTGTCTTCGTATATTCAATAAGAAATGATTTGTTTTTTTTTGCTCTTTTCAATTAGGAATTCGTCATGCTGAAGAACTTTCGATTTTACGTTTACCAAAATTAACAAATACAAATGGATCACATGAACGTCGTACATCACCTCGCCGTCGACGTTATAATATTGGTACACTTAATCGACATAATTCTATGGGTGATTCATTAGCAAATAATACATCAACAATATCAACATTATTTTCTCCATCAACACCTAAACTTCGATCAACAATAACAACAAATGATACAATAGTAAATATTGAAAATAATTTAAATAGAAACTCAAATGATAAATTTTTTTTTTTTGAAAGGATTCATCAATATGTCGTCAACGTCCAATATCAAATCTTTCGAAATCACTTAATAGTTTAGTTACAAATCTTGATGGAAATCTTGCTCGAACACCAATAAAACCAATAAAAAATATTTTATCACAATTAACTAAACCAATAAATATAATTGAAAAATCGAAATTAAATAGTCTATGGTTTGATTCATCAAAATCACTTATGGAACAAAATACAAATGAAAATGATCTTATTTTATTACGTTTTAAATATTTTACATTTTATGATCTGAATCCAAAAGTAAAAACAAAAAAAAAGTTTTTTAGTCTTTGTTTTTTTTTTGTCTTCTAAATTTAGTTTGATGCTATAAGATTAAATCAATTATATGAACAAGCTAAATGGTCTATTTTAAGTGAAGATATTGATTGTACCGAAGAAGAAATGATGACTTTTGCTGCTTTACAAGTAAATACAAAATATTTACATGAAAAAAAAACCAAAAGAATATCTATAATAGATATTATTTTTACATGTTCTCAAATCACTTCAAAGACTTTATTTGGGTTACATGTTTTTTGGCCCATGACCTCATTAATCCCTAAAATAAAAAAATTTAATGTGCTTATGCGAGATATTGTAGTGCTGAGCAGCACGACATAGCGCTGAGCAGTATGACGTAGTGCCGAGCAGGACAGTATAATGCTTAGAGTGTGTATCCTTTTTTACGTTAGCAGTGACAATCATACATCATGCATTCACATTCCAGACCTCCGCATCAATTCTCTTCAGACTTTCGGTCCGGCCCAAAAATTCACTAGAAATTCGGACCAG